CTTATGACATCATTGGATGTCAACAATAAAAACCAATACATCATAAAAAACCTATGTAAATATTATAGGAATACTATCAATCTATCTTAAATCAAAACAAGAAAAGAGACCTGTCATTGAAGAAATTTTTTGTAAGTACTGCGTTTCCGAATTCAGCATTTCTTGTTTTTCTAAAGTTTTTATTGCATTTATCTCCTCCATTATTGGTTGAATATCACCATCACAGTTATCTGAAATAGAGCAATATTTTATAAAAAATATCTGTTTAGTTAATTACAGAAAATTAAAACGAAAGTATCAAAATTATAATACAAAACTAACCTAAAAAAGATACAACTTTATCTAATCGTTGTAATTTCTCCATGAAATTTTTATTTAATTCAGTTTTCACTTCAGTAAACTTGTCAATCATGATGGAAAGAAGTTTCCTCGATGAACTTTTTATCGGCTTCGACATAATTTTTAACCAAAAACACAAGTTCAAATTCGCAAAAACAACAAAATTCAATATTCTTGAATTGTCTAACGTAGTGTCAAACTGACAGTTCTATGTTGTTGCCATATGAAAACGGAAAAATAGGTGGTGTCACGTTTCGCTTGCCAAACTCTACAGGTACACTAAACTATCGTTAAACTATTTACAACAATGAAAATCAAGCCCCCCATGCTTTTTGTACAACAATATGAATTTTTCAATTGAGTACTCCAGTTTTATTTTTAAATTTTTAGTTCAATCAGTTTCAAAAGCGTGTTTTTTTTAGTTTTTTCAAACTATAATTTGTTAAATGTAGATTTTATTTTTCTTATCTCTAACTAGCCTTTATAAACAATGTCTTCTTTACAAAATATATACAAAAAATTCATTGATAATATTTAGAAACTCAAATTTAAAAATGGGGCAGATAACATTGATTTTGACCAATTGTTTCCATTTTTTTATTTTTATTTATGTGCATTTGCAACCTAGATGTCAAACGATATTGAAGAATTTTATCTATGAATCGACGTACACCGCCATCTATGAGAACTTCATAAAACTAAACTGTAAATAAACACTTGCTTTAGTAACAATTAATTAGTACACTTTATTCGTTTACATTCACGACATAAGCGAATATTTGAGATGATAACTGTAAGTTGGACCAAAATAGGGGTACATGTGAAATTTGATTGAAATTAGATCGGTAGTTTTGGAGTTTATTGGCAACATACATCGTGATACAATATTTTTATATATGTAAAATATAAAAAGATAATGAGGAAGTATTTAAAAAAAAACATTAGTTCCCGTAATCAAACTAGATAGTCACTGACGTGCGTTCCTGATTTCTCCATGACAACCCTCCCGGTTTCCTTTCATGTTTAAAAGTCAATTAGTTTTCAAAACTCAATAAACAATTTATATTTACACAATTAACTAACGCTATGAATTTTCACGAACTGATATTCATAAAAAAACATATTGAATTACTCAAAATTTCAAAAGCGAAATAATTTAGAAAAAAAAACATTAGTTCCCGAAATAAACTAGATGTCGCTACGGTATTTTCTTGATTTCTCCATGACAACCCTTCCTGTTTTTTTTTTCATGTATAAAAGTAAATTAATTTTCAAAACTCAATATGCAACTCATATTCTATTTGTACTTTTTCGTATTTGTATTGATATCTAAGTTTTGACCTTTGCAAAGAACAATGGCCATCTGCCTAACATGCTTGGACTAGTAACTAGACTTGTTTGCCTATGCAACTAGAACAAAAAAGACATTAAATATATTTTTAAAAGCTGGGAGTATCGAGTAATTGTGTAATATGTTTTTGAGGTTATGTCGTATTATTTAAACTGTTCAATCCCATGTTGCCCCCTTATCTCAAATCACGCTTTAAATTTCTCTCATCTACGCATGATCTCTCGCTCGCTCTTCTAATAACTTACGATTGTTCATTCCTCCCAATCTCACTAAATTCAATAGTCAATCCTTTACAGTACACGCTATAAAACTGTGGAACTCTCTACCTGAATCTATCAGACGGGCGAATTCGTTAAACTCCTTCAAATATCAATTAAAATCCCATTTCCTCACTAACGTTTAGCCTGCTCTTCTATTTTCTTTTTACACTTCTCGCTTTCTGGTTGTCACTTGTGTTTTGAGCATTATGTTTGTCTCTATGTACTTTTTTTTTATGGTACTTTGCTGTTGTAACTGTATTAGGTTTTATTTTGTATTACTTGATTTGTTTTTTTTTTATGCACAATCTGCCATCTAATGTTTGTTTTTTTTTTCTCCATCCAATGCAAGGTTGCCTGGAAGAAATCGCTGCCTAGCGATAAGGCCGCCTTTTGTACGTTTTCATGTATTCATTTATGTTTGTTGATGTAATTTTAATATGGTTTGTGCAATAAAGAGTATTTATTATTATTATTAAACTGTATCATTTTGAGTTAGAGGTATTACAGTTGAAATATGTGAAGCACACGTCAGATAATGCCTAATTGTAGTCCTAGAAGTGCATACTTTCACATAATACTTCAAACTTGCTCCATATCTGATATATTATTTTTATTGACTGTAAGAAATAAAATCATTTTTTTTTTAAATAATGAACATCAAAAAAAGAAATAGAATTTTAAAGATCTCTACTTTTCTATCTTACACTATAACTTATATAAAGTAGTAGTGAAAATACTAATTTCAAAAGGATATAGCAAAACAACATTTTGATTTTTCTTTTCTTTATTACAACTCCAATGAATACCTCAACACGGAATGCTGCAGGAGCATCTGCATTCTGTTCATGTCTGGCCATACTGCCATACTGCCCATGCAACCTAGTATGCTCCACATAATACAGAAGATAATACAAAATCACCGCCAAAGTTACAAAACGGTCTGCGTAGAAACACGTCTACACATACTTGTCTAAAAAAGGGAGGTCACAATCGAATCGATTCTTATCAATAATCATTTGTTTTTAATTTCATTATAAATAAACTATTTTCCCTTAAGTAACATCTAATTATATTAGTAATCTAATGTAAGTTTTATAATTTTCACGGATTTATATGGTTAGTAAATAATATAAGATTTGTATCAAATTCGATTAGTCAGATATAAAATCGATCTTGTACTTTAAAAAGAGAGGGACTTCTCTAGTAATGACATTATTAATAAGATGCGTTCAAAAATAACATAATTTAAACTGCGTTTTAAAAAATAAAGACATATTTTAGAGAGGATTATCTTTCTTTTCCCAGCCTTTAAAAATAAATTGTTGGTATATAATAATTACATTCAACTTATACTACATTTTGGTGATAGTTCCATCTTGGTACAAGAACTTTTTTTTCGTAGTCCATGTTGACCATTGTTCTTTCAGTTTTTTAATATGTACTAAAAAAGGGACGGATATGACTATCTTTGGTCCATTCGTTTCGTGCAAAAATCAACTTTTGATAGAGTCGCCAGCTCTGCGGTGTCGTCGTGTGCGTCAGGTCGTTACGTTCTCTGAAACACCAGTAAGACAGTAATCCGCCAATGAAATAAGGAGCTCTTAAAAGAACTATTTCAACGTCACTCTCCGTATAAAGAGCGATGGTTGGCTCATACGTCAAGCTCGTCAAGGGATGCTGCCAGTGGGGATGAGTCTGCAGTGGACTACTTAATGTCCTGAATTCGGATGAATCGAAACAATTGAAGTTACGAGCAACCATCGTTCCTTTACACAAAGAAAACATAGTTCCTTTACACGCAACACAATAAATAACTTTAACTTACGATTCAAATAAATTAAAATTAAATTGAAAGTAAGATATTGTGAGGAACTTGAAACGATGTCATATTTTTTTAATTTTTGGTACTAAATTTACTTTTATTATGTCAGAAAGAAAATTTGAATTAATATTATAGACAATTATCCGAAAATCGCTAGTGACGACATCTAGTTTGATTTGAAGAACTAACTTTTGTTTTTTAAATACTTCCTTATTTAGTAATTTAGGTACCCGCGCACCTGAGTGCCTATTAGGAATTCAAGTCAGTACTCAGTATCCGTGTTAATCTGAGTTGACATGGACTTAAGACATCCCTAGTGAATACTATAAAATTACCAAAGAGTAATGTAATATAAAAAAAATTAAATGACTGATGACAGCTTTGGCAGCTTCGTCACGTGATGTCAGATTTATTTATTTACGAAACAGTGTGTTTTAAAAAATGAAGGATTTTAGTAGATTAATATAAAAGTATGCAATTGAACGATATTTCGTATAAAAACAATTCCATATTTAATGATATACATACTTTTATGTTACTGTTGTGTAATGGCTACTTCCGTTTAATATTCAGCCATGTAGAAAAAAATACGTGAAGAAAAAAATGATTACTACCAGATTGCAGGATTGCATCTTAATTTTATAAAAAGATTAGATCAGGTGGGCTTATGAAAGCGATTTTTGTGCAGCGATACACGGGAATGTAATGGCGTTGTTCGATAAATTCTTTTTGTTAAAGAGTAAACTGGACAACGATTACCACAGATCGCAAAATCTAGGAAGGTACGTCATAGAACTCTTTCATTCATGTAATTCTATTTTCGCTCAGTATGCGTTGAAAAGGTTGACGCATGAAGATCCACTAAGGAGCATTCTGTAGACCTTTTGCTGATAGTAGCAAGTGACGCACGCGGTGCTGGCAGTGCGGCAAGCATATGACTGCGGGGCGCGGGCTGCGGGCGTAGGTGCTCGCACGGTATCGCTGATCGCGTCGTGAGGGGGGCGGGGCTCACTGTTTACTTATTATTTACATTCAATGTTGGCCTGTTTAGTTCACTAGCACATTCCATTTGTGACGATTGTCTACAGACTTACTACTACCAATGTGCATTTACAGTGAAATTACTATTGTGATTTTGTATTTTGATAGTGATTGCATATGACACTTTTTATTTGGAATAGACATTGTTTGAAAACTGCTGTGAGCAACTTAGCGACTATGAAATAAAATGAAATTTAGGTAAAATGAAATAATGAGAAACTTGATAAGTGGGAATTGTTAAATTAAAAGAGCCTCACCCAATACTTCTGTAAGTGTTGGATTAGGTTCTATCAAATCTTCAAGTGTGTGTTGATCTTTTAGTTAGTAATGACTAGCAGTGTGGACTTGTCACTGTCAGCTATAATTGCTTAGAAAGTTTTATATATATAGATAATTATCTATTTCACACTACAATAGGTTGGCAACATATTTTGTTATTAATCTATGATAATTTAAAAGGATTTATTATGTTTGTCAAATGTTTGTTTTTACCACCAGGTAAAAGTTTTTTACTACCAAGTAAGATGCTAAATTAAGACAAGTGAAACTCCTAGAAAACACAATGCAAAGAACAATGTTACTTTCATGTCAATATAATTTATTGATGTTAATCATCTAACATAATTTTCATATACTATTGCTTAAAAAAAGACTTAACCAAACACCTTTCATCTATTTTATACTAATGTGCAGATGGACCTTTTGTTGGCAGAATAGTGTAAACAAAGATACGCTTCATTGATGCATTTTGCTCTATGCAAGATAATTTTTGTAAAATAATACTAATTTGTACATATCAACACTGGAAAGCAAACACATTGTAAACTGCAAACTAAAATTGTTCTTCAGAGCAGAAATATATTTTTTTAAAGTGACATCAATACAAATATGTAATAAAACTCTTAAGTACTTAAGTAAAATGAGCAGAACAAAATAGAAATAGCATTAAATATCTTAATGATCATTATAATGTTCAAAAAGAGAAGACGAAATGATCCAACAGACTTAAGAATAAAAGTTTATATAATGACTCACTTACACTATGGGATTCTCAATATATGAATTTGCTCTACAAAAATCTTCATTAAAATAAGAAATCTAGTTCAAATGACAAAGATAAATTTGCTAAATATAATTATTATTTGTAAAAAATAAAACATATAGATTTCTTTCATATATTTATAATTTTTTAACATAGAAAGATAAACAAATCATTATATAAATTGTGCCTAACAATGTTCTCGGCTTTTGTCGTGTTATTTTATTTATTTCACTTCACAATGTAGTATTGAGATCTTACAATTATAAAAGGATCATTATGAACCCATTGGCACAGCAAGTTACAAATAATAGGCAGGAAACTGTGCTTGAAAATGTAGGTTACAAGTATTTCCTTTCTTAAATAAAGTAAATAATTTATGTATTGAAAACATGCTTAATTTTTGTAATAATTGAATAAATATATATATGAAGATACAAAACAAAGATAGAAAAAGAATGTATTATTATGTATTTACTCCTTAATCATATAAAACATTGCATTTAAGTTTGCTAGTATTTTTTTTTTGTATTGAAGGTTAGAAGTCATTCCAGGTTTCCGTTAAATAAAATTTCATATTTGTTGCAGGTCTCGTCAGATAAATTCAGAGCAAGTACGATTGCTACTATTTAAAGAGTGTGATTGGAGGGGAAGAAAACTTCTTTTTGATTCATCAACTATTGAAAAAGTACCAGCCAGCAAAAATGACAAACCAAAAATCAAACAAACAGATCGTTTTCCATATGCCCTTGAGGTTTCCGAAGGTTATACATACTTGGTAAGTTCTATAATCTTAAATAGTGCATGCCCCAATTTAATCTTATTTCTACACACTTGCAAAACTAGAATATAATTAAAGACTAAGAATTTTTTAAAATCTATATGCATACAAAATAAACAATATTATCGAAAAAAATCAGAACATGATGTAGCAAAATTATGGGTTATGTTTACTTTAAAGTTTATTAATAATTGAGTCATCTTTAAAAAAGTATGAATTTTTATGGTATGTTATGTCTATACTAAATATATTACAGTATATGTCCTTATTACTCAAAACTCTTCATTTTGTTAGTTCTATTTTTATTTAGGTTTATTTGGTAGTATTTCTAAATTGTGTAATATGGTTTAAATATAAATATTTTCATATAAACTCGCACAACTTACATGGCCTATATATGACCATTTTAGTGACTAATGATGATTAGAACTGGTAGATCATTTTTATTAAAGAATATATAATAGTAATTACCTTTGCAGCTTGGTTAAAAAGGTCAATAGCCAATGAGGAAGTATTAAAAAATAAATTAGTTCCCGAAATCAAACTAGATGTCGCTATGGTACGTTCTTGATTTTAATCAAGGAATGGAAATGACTTTTTTTTGGTCCATTCGTTTCCTTCAAAAATCAACTTTTGCTAGAGTCGCCATCTATGTAGGTGCTTTTTTAGTGCTTTCGTTTTTTTTTAATACTTCCTCATTAAACTAAATGTTGTAGTGGCTGCCTTAATATATCAGATTATAGTGTGATATCCACACATATAAGCTTTAGTCATTTATACCTAAACGTAAATAAAAAAACAATCAATCATTAGTAGAATTTTGGAATAGCACACAAATAGGGATGATGAGTAACATTTATTTGTCTGTTAGGTTATTGAAGAATATTGAACACGTATTGTTTATTTTTTGCGTAATCAATAAATACGACAATACATTAAGTTGAAATGTCGCATGCCGTCGCACCTCTGTACGTTTTTTCTATAATTGTGAAGTAGCGAGCCTCCACTCCTCAACGTTATTTATTGCCTAATATCTAGGCTTTTCTTTTTTGTTAAATTCATCTCTACGTGACATCATAGGTTTTTTTTTATATCTGTTTGGTCAAGTTCACATTAGATATCTTATCTTCCGATTAATGTTGGATATCTGTAACTAGTTAAAGGAAATATCTCTTAAATTATAATAAGCAATTAAGAACTGACGCAGGTAAAGGATTGTTGATTGTTATGATGTGAGAAAATTACATCGTATTTCGATGTAATTTTCTCACATCATAACAATCATCACAAGTCATGGTAAATTTGTTAACTATAAATGGATTTTTAAAATTAAGTTTATCAGTACCATTTTTTTAATTATTATGTAGTTTAAGACTAAAGATGTACTTTTTTTTCTTAAGACGTCTACACCAGAACTGACGAAGTTTAAATTGGTTTCAGAAGAAATAACGTCAAAGAAGCTGTGTTATAAATGAGAAACATCATATTATTATATGTAAGGCCATTGAAAGGGCCAAAACATAAACTTTATTAATTTTTCATAAGAAAGAAAAACAAAGTTACCTCTGAAATTCACTTCTATTTTCATTTCTTTTCGTATTTTTTTATAGGGAAAATTGATAACACCCATGTATATTTTGTAGTTGAGTGGTTAACAGAGAACTTTTACAATAAACGTTAGTTAAAAAAAGTTTATATACAATTCGCTATCCTTTTGCTTTTTTATGTAACTATTTCATTGCCGGGCGCTCGCTAACTGGATATTTATTAGTGCATCCCATTAGGGTTATTGTAAAATTGCTCTGTAAAGCCCGGTGATTGAACGACGGATGGACAGAAAACACAGTGATCTTATACCTAAGGTTTAGGTTTTTATGTATTTATTTATTCGACCAGTTATTCCTCGTAAGAAAACGAGGACTGAAGATGGTACATGGTACTTTAAACCGTTAGCCGTTTAAAGCACATTGACCATGACAGAAGAGAAAACGTCAAATTGAGATGTGTTGACTTATATTGGTCGGATATTGGTTTAAAACTGATATTAAAGTCAGTAGCTAATTGTTTTATAAGTAGCTAATTTCGCTCTCTTAAAGTATCGTGTTCAACTCTTGTATGGACGGACTTGCATGGACTAATATGTAGTAAACGCGTAATGACTGTATACTTAGTCATTCCGTTAAGAGTTTTATAACAGTATTATCACAATTGACACATCGTTGTACAGTCACAAGACCATTCTAGTTATGGACAACACTTCACTGATCTAAATATAGATCATGCGAGTTAGCCTTTTTGATTAGACCAGTAAATGGGGACGAATGAACGACGCCATGGGGCTAACTTTAGCTGATTTTAATTAACGACCATCACATGCCTCTTTGATGTCCTGTTGTAAATTTAAAAGTACACAATATCATGTGTAATTTTGTGTTTTATATGTTAATATAAGGATGGTTTAAATTGGTATGTTTGAGAATGTCATTATAATTTTTATCTTGTCCATTCTATTCTTGTGACGTCCGGTACATATTAGGCATACCTCTATTATTTGATTTGACTTTGTTATCAGCTTGCTAAAAACTGTCTACAAATATTTGATCTGTCATATATAGAATGTCACGTACTTCTAATGCTACGTATATATGTAAATGGGTCTATTTACTTACATATTTATAGGTACAATTAAGAGACAAATAAAATATTTTTTGGGTTAGTGAATTTGTAAAAGGTTTGGAGGGATGGTTCAGGTTCACTTTGAGTCCAGAGATTAACGTTAATATATTCCATTGAAAATATATGTTTTTTCTTAGTACAAGGGACCAGCAGCAGACGCGAGCGTTCTCGGTGAGATGATATTCGGAGCCGTCGCCATCAACTACAAGAGTGTGTCTCTGAAAATTCACATAATGGACGAACCCAGAAGGTGCGCATGCCTCGCAAGTTTTATTTCTATTACACCTTCGATTTAAAGCGTTTCCAGAAGGTCCTTCAACTCTCGGATATATTGATGTAAAGAAAAAAATTGACAAACTGAATAACTTCAACATAAAGATAAAACTTACCTTTTTTCTTGGAAAACTATTGTTATCATGTATCGACAGAAATTGCTGTCTTCTTTTTATATTTCCGTTCACATTCATGTTTATCGTCCTGTTTATTATATACTAGCAGTTGTCCCGTGACTTTGCACGCGTAAATTATGGCCTATGTCATCCCCGTATGATGAAGCTCCCCGCAGGTGAAAGAATTTTTAAAATCAAACCAGTAGTTTCAGAGCCTATTTGATGCAAACAAACGAACAATCAAATTTTTACTCGTTATAATATTACTATAGACAAAACGGTATTTCTCATCATATGTCAATACGAAGACTGTTGCTTCTATTTTGTCTCTGGCGCTGCCTTCAAACTTTATTTTGTTTAGGTTGATGTGCACAAAGGTATTCTGTGTGCCAACGTCGCGTAAGGACAGAACAGTGGTCCGAAAGAACAGTGAAATCAATAATCGTATCAGTAGCTTGACAAATGGCTCCAAACCTTTGAATGTCCCCTTACTCAGAGAGGAAGGAGTATCTTTGAGTTTCTCAATGGATAGAGGAGATTCTGGTAAGGTATATTAAATATTGTAAACTAAGCGCTGGTTGCACTAAATCACTTAAACAATAACAAACATTATATTTGGTCAATTTTGCCATGCTATACTGGAAAATATTCTTGATGAAAAATGCTTCAAAATCCGCGTCAGCTAATGTCAGCTTGACAGTTATTGTCAAATTTGACATTAACTTTAATTATTCTTATGGTGCAATCCAGCTTTAATGTTTTGATTGCTTCCTTTTGATAATTATTGTAATAGTGAATGCTTTTTAGGTTATTGCGGAGATATTTCACCATACAGCAGCGTCGGATCTACATATGATTATTTCTCCATGTTTGATATTTGGGACGGGAAAAGTTCTAAAGATGAGATGTACTCATTTTATTGTAAGTATCAATATTATAAATTAACAACCTTACTAACTGTTACATCATCCCCAACCATTTTACATCCCCACTCAGGCCTTCTTTATGGTTAAAGAGGATGGGCCTTTCACGCTGGTCCTATGCGAATTGGAGGGTATTGACGACTGCAAATACAGCCGGGAAATTACGACTTCGCGTTCCGAAAAACGGAACAGCTCAAAATAATTTTTTTTTGATCACCCATCACTTGACCGACCCCTGCGAAAGTTGCTATGCAACAACGATCGCGGGCCGTGGTGCTTATAAGGGTATAAATACGTAGGGACGTATACGTAGGGACTTCACCGCCGAGTTATTCCGGTACATTGCTTAAGGATCGTTTATTATATAAGGTGTAATATAATTATATGTCAGTTTCATACAAAATTGTAATACAAGAGTAGTACACCTGCCTAAAGTAACGTGTGTGCAAAGTTTAGCTTGCAAAGAAGTTTTCATTTCGAGTTTATGAAAATAATAGCAAGAGAATAAGTCTCGGTTTAGAAAGCGCAGAGATGTAACATTTGTGCTATCGCTACTGAACTCGCACTGCGACGGCGGGACGTCGTGTAGGGTAGAGTTCCGTGATAGGTATCATGTTAGGGTTCGCGCATTCTCCGGGGTTAGGGCAAAATAACAGCCACGAGGTAGGACCAAGGGTCCTGTTAGATGGGGACGAATATCCTGGCGGATCGATCACGGCTTCCCAAGTCTCATTCCCTAGTAAGAGATACACCATAGAGGTTTTAGTGGGAGGACAGTTTCGCAGTCCCCGCTTTGGCTCGCCAGAATTAATTTAAATAGAATAGAAGAGGAATTAATAAAAGGAGGGCATAATAACAGTGAGGATAAATGTGGATAAATTGTGTGCTGAGCTTTGGCCCTTTTGTATTGCTGAAATATATAAGGTGTTTGTTTTTCATTCTCCTTTTTTGTTTTGTAATATCGATGGATGGATTGAAATGTAGTTCAATGAAAATACATTTCAATGGTGTCGTTTCTAACGCAAATAAATAACTTTATAACGCGTATTTATAAATAAAGTCAATCCACACACGTTTAATATTAACAAAGGTAATTTTGTATTAATGTAGTACCGCCTGGTCGGAAGCTGAGTACATCAAGCAATGGTAGTTGGCAACGCAGAACTTTCCAAAACATGGTTACCAGGTTTGACCTGGGGCAGAGCTCGACCTTGCTAAATGTTCCCACGGTTATCAGCAGTAAAGATTCACAAGTAAGTGAAATATGTCCTAGTATATTATAAACATGAAAGTGAGGGTAGATATTTGGTAGTAAGGTAGTCTTTCGCGCAAAAACTACATATCGAAAGGATTTTGATGAAATTTTGTATGCGGATAATTCTAATTTTACGTTATTATTTAGATTCTTATGTGATTATTGAACGGGAGGGATAGGGTCGGCCGATTCTTGCTTTTTCTCACATAGAGGTGGGAGAACTTAAACATAGTTGAAAATTGGTATACGTAATTAATTGATGACGTCTTTTTTGTTTTAAAAGCGAAAGGTCATTCACCCACTCATTGACACTCACTCCGAAATAAAATTCTACACTTCAAGTGGTAGAAGTTTAAAATTTTAACTTCGTTTAAAGACCTAGGTCCATGCTACTGGGGCTCAGTCCTTCCCTATGGATGGAATCAAATCAAATCGAATAGGGAGAATAGGCCATGGCTCCAGTGCGGATTGGTGGGTGTTAAAGACTGCAGATTCAGCCGGGATCAACAACTAAACGAACCTTCTGATGTACGGAAGAGCTCGTGATAGTAAATTTTCGGTCACCCATCTTATGATCGAACCTTGCGAAAGTTGCTTAACAATCTTACCGTAGCCAGAGCGCGCTAACCACTGCGCCATCGAGTTTTCTCCCAGAGAGTTTTTGCGAAATTCGATCCCAATTGGTGTTCTTTTCGAGTTTATTATTATTAAGTCTCGAACAACAGTAATTTATCTTGCAGTTGCACGTCCATTAAATTTTGCATTAGATTAAGGCAACATTTTATGGCTTTTATAAATTAAAATAAACAGTTACAAGTATTATTTCGCATAGAGTAGAATACCCCATTTCGTTTACGTGACCTATATCAGCTTTGCAGATTCGTTTACGTTCTCTTTATCACGATTCATGTCATTAGGGTGAAAAGGCGCGTGACAATCGTCACATGAGTGACCACATCAGTTATCAGATAGTCATGTGAGCCATTATCACTGTACCTATACAGTTAGATGTGATGGTGATTACACGTTGATTACGTTCGACAATAATGATAAAACATAATAGAGATAACTCATCATTACATATACCTAATGAATAATAAACAATTTTCTATGTGATTTTTGTTACACGTAAAAAAATAGGAAACACTTAAAACGAATCGCTAATATAATATCTCCGTAGCAGAATGGTTCGCACGCCGGTTTCAAGGTGTCGTCACGGTTCGATTCCCGGTTGGGTGAATGTATAAAATGAACTTTTATATAATTGTCTCGTGTCTGGGTGTTTTGATACCATCGTTGTCTATGACACTCCATATCGGGGGCTTCAGCTACTTATCTTGGAGTCTGAGCAATATATTGTTTTCTAATATATATTTATTTTAATATTATTGTATATTAATACACAAGCAAATTAACTTCAAGTTAAAAATTGTGAAAATTACACTAAATAATGGTATTGACTTAAAGTATTCGTAAAGTAGCCATAACTATATACACTTTTTATTCGTTTTATCAATGTTATATTTTTTTACAATGTTCTTGTTTTATTATTTATCAATAGTTTTGGTTGTTGTAGTTTTCTGGGTTTAAATATCATCAAAAGGAGAATTTAGAAAAACGAAGCTATTTCTAATATTGAAATAAAACGTTTAAAAAAATATAAAGATAATAAAAAACACATGTTATGTTGATGTTTATGTTCTAAAAAAAAAACTTAAAAATTCAATTTTTACATGTGACCTCAACTGGATTCTGACCAGTAACTTTTCAAAACAACCATTGTTTGACGGAGACAACGTGTGTCTCCGTAACGGTAAAAGTAAAATTTGCTCTATTTACCTAACTTATACTTTAAAAATAAAATAATCAACAATTGATTATTTTATTTTCATCTTACATCATGAACTAAGGTTAAAGACTAGTTAATCAGTATTTGTCTTAAGTAATTAGACAGAGTGCAGATTATTCCAGAATTGAAAGTTCGAAGCAATTTATTTACAAGCATATATAATTGCGATTTCAATAAAATAGTTCACTCGAAAGAAATAATCCCAAGAAACAACTAAATGGCTTGTATCTTTCACTACTTTATTTTTTAGACATTACATTAGTGTCATCTTATGATGGATGTTCTTCGACGAGTGAAAATATCGTAATAGGTTTCTGCTATATGTTCGGAAAATTTGAACAATTTTAACTTATTATTATTTAACAAAATAACAGGGAAAATAAATAACAAACATTTATTATTATTGATCAATTTTTCACTCACAATACTAGAAAATATTTTTTATGAAAAATGTTTAAAAATCCTAAATTTTTCATTTAGAATTAAAATTTGCTAAAATACTTATGGCATTAAAATATTTATATAAAATGTAACAACATTCATTAAATCAACTATAACCGTAGCACCGTATCTCCGAAACTATTAATTGCACTTTCTTACTTCTGCATTATTTCTCAGATATTAATGGCTATTTATTTATAAAATAAAAAAGTAGACAGCTAGCCTCTTGTTGGAATGAGATAGTTATATAAAGTACAAATCAATGTTTTGCTACGGCCATTATAATAAATTAATATCAAAAAGCAGTAAACGAAAAAAAGAAACTATATCTATACGTTTTTGGAGATGCGTTCACCGCATATAATGTAGCTTTCCGTAGGTGAAATAATTTTTAATTTTAGTAGTACTTTCAGAGCCTATTCTATGCAAACAAAAATACAAACAATCAAATCTTTCCTCTTTATAATATTAGTATAGATAGTACAATGTTTTTAGATATAGTTTAACAAAAATAAATTATTTTTCCTGTACACGATTGAATTTTATGGTAAAACACTGAATCGCGTGATTTTTATTTGCAATGATAACACCTAAACGTGCGCGCGCGCATACTCATATATCAAACTATACAACTTATAAGTAGTGTAATCAATAATCTAACAACCCGATTGTCGTCATCAAATGTATAATCTTTATTATATTCAGTCAATTTTGTAATCGCACTCCTATATTGATATATTTCTTATATATTATCTCAAGGAAAAATGCTAAGAAAATTCACCAGTAATAAACCTTATAATATTTTTACCAACGTTATGTTTTCTTAAAAAATTATTATCAGTTAATCATACTTTCTATGAATAAGCCTGCCAGTGCATAATTATTTAGAATTCTTAAATTAGTCGTTTTTATGTTTGTGTCATGTCTGATAAGTCTAGAAAATATTTTTTGTTGTAAGACAGTTCAATTTTAAAGGTGAAATATAGTTCAAGTAGATAAAAAAAAATGATCATATATTTACCAAATTATTTTTGTTTGAAATTTTCCGATTGATATTAGCGTTTTGACATAACTTTGTTTTTGTAGCTAATGTACCGACAATCAACCAGCTTTATTGATGAGATAAGACTAAATTTAATATAATTCTTAGTGAAATATGCTTAGTTCCAACAGTCCCAGGTACCCTGAGATGGGACGAGATGGAAGTCGCCTGGATAGCGAAAGGTCTCCCATATCGGTGTACCTTGGGCTGGTCGATTTTTAAAGTATTTGTTATTATGAATATTTTTTACCAGTATTGAACCAGTACCAGTTGTGAACGCAAAAATAAATTTTATATTAAATATAATTGTATTTTTTTAATGTCATACCTTGGCAATTTTAACTATAATATAATATTTAATATAAAAATATGTATAATTTTTAAAGTAATTGAATGTAGCTGAATTTAAGAGTTGATTTTGCATATTTTTTTTGTCGATAATATTTAACATATTCACATTTTGATCCAATGTGTACTCTTCTTTTAAAAGTTGTATAATTTATTAGTGATTTTGTTCGAGGCGCTCTCTTAAGTGTATATATTTCCACAGCTGTTTGGAGGGAGTTCCACTAGCGGCACCACAGATAGTTTGCTAAGCACTTGCTCCATGTCTCAAAAGAAGAACAAGTTGGGTCTAGCGCTTCTGTTCACCGTCACCGATACCAATGAAATGTAAGTTTAAACTTTCAGAACGTTACTTTTTTATATTTTAGGGTCATTGTGGCATTTTAAAAATGATACTATTGTTTCTTAATCATCACCTTTATCTACTTGTTCATATTGACATTGCTAGGGTACAAGCTTAAGGTTTTAACGACTTGATGCAGTCAGAATCAAAGTTTAACGTACCTTTTGAAGTCAGGAGGAACTCGAAATAATAAATGTTGACCTTCAGTCTTATGCTTATCTTCCGCAATTTCAGGCCGAATGCTCTAATCAATGCATCTTCAACACATTTTTTCGATAAATTGATGTAGCAATGGATGCAGGACCTGGCACTGATTCTGATGCATTGTAAATCATTACCAGAGGTCGGAATTAGGTAGAGTTATTTATGTACTTGCATCGAAATGTTGATATTAATGTGGACCTTCCCGGGATTTCTTTATTTCTTCTTTCTTTCATTGATGTAAGTTTGGCAACGTCGTGCGTGCAGTAGTTTAAATTGAATAAAAGTAAATAACTTTTTATTTAAAAACTCCAGGAATTTCACATCGGAAAAACTCGATCACATCACGGTCGCCGGGATTGCGAAAGGTCGTTGGTCCGAGCCCCATCTCAGAGAAGAATAATGTCTTTGTTGTTTCGTTAGGGACGTGGTACGTAGGTGCGTGGAGCATTCCCCGCAGTTGCAAGCGCTCGTTTGCAGGTTAAGATTGGCGACGCTGACAGCTGGTGCCGGCAATGGGTTCGTGTCCACTCTATACACGGCTACTGCGGACACTGCTAGATGGTAAGTGATACAACATAAATATTAGACGACATTAAACACATTAGGGATGGCGACTAATTTTTGTTTGTTTGTCCGTCAGGTAGATTGTTGAAAAATATTAAACGCGTTTTCGTAATCATTGCCCAATGTCATGCTTTTGTTACATTTTGTACAACTTGAATTTAATAAGGAGTAGCTTAGATAACAGGCATTAAAGTTGAGGAGTGGAGGCTCGCTACCTGTGACGTAGCAAGCCCCATTCATCAACTCATCAACTGTTATCTAAGTTATTTCTTTATAAATTGAGGTGAAAAAATATGTATCTAATATTTTTATATTATCTGACTGACGGACTAACTGCTAGTTGCTCAAAAGTCCAATAAAATTTATATTATGTTAAAGCGACATTATCCATACTAATTTATCGTTCATAGAGCTTAAAGATGTCATTAAAACTTAATGGACGTTTGTGCATCTAACGGTATATAGAATTTCTTTTTTTTCAACCAGTCTTCAACCCTTTTTTCGGATTTGAAGATGAGTATATCAAGCCCCCGTCTTATGGACTGTCTGAGATAAAGAAGATACCACAACACCCAGACCCGAGACAATATAGAAAATTCAATTTTTTATATTGTATCCGGAAAATCCAATCTGGACCTCAGATAGGGCGACACTTTGAAACCACCGTGCAAATCTTCTTATATATAAAAATGAATCGCAAAATGTGTTGGTAAGCGCATAACTCAACAACGCCTCGACCAATTTGGCCAAATCTTTTTTTAAAATGTTCGTTGAAGTTCAAGGATGGTTTTTACGGCGAGAAAAATTAGAATTATTGCTGGAAAAACCCTAGAAATAGCCCTTTTCTTTTTCCCATACAAATGATTTGTAACTAAAACGTAGTCAATTTGAGCTTTATTGCTATGGTATAAAGTTCATATTAAATTACAAGCACTCACTGTTGTCTAAGCAATGTAGGCTTTTTGACAGGACGAAGTCTGTCGGGTCAGCTAGTTTTGAATAAAAATAACAAGGCCCCGTTGCGGCTTGGTGGGTGTTAACGACTACATATGCGACGACCTAAAGAGCTTTTCGAAGAACGAGGAGCTCGAGATAAAAAAAATTCGGTCACCCATCTTATGGTCGGCCCTTGCGAAAGTTGCTTAACTTTCGCATCGCAGATTGAACACGCTAACCAAACACCGAATTCATAGACGCCGGTTTCATAGACACGTCCTTGAGAGCCTTTCACTAAACATGTTTTGCTATTTTAAAGTAAACACATCACTAACATTTTGTCTATTTTGGTCGGTATGGAGCACGTGCCAAATGTGATTTATTATTAGGAGTGCTTTCGATCACATGTTGATGTGAACTCCATTTTAAGAAAGATTGCGTTTTTCGCTCATTTAGGGCAAACATACCGTTTGTTGTTTTGTGTATTCGATTGATGATTTATTTATTTAATTTTATTTTATTGATATAGATACGCTAGCGACAACAACATTAAACAATACAATAAAAATAAAAATTGGAATAGTTTAATGAGTTTTATTTAGAGAAGTGTTATAAATTACCGTACTCAAGTGCTTACTAGAGTTTTGTATCTCGGATGGACAAAACGGTACATTTATAGGATCACATGTATATCTGTCCGTATATATGCTACAGCTGTATTCTGTAAAAAAAAGGAAGCACTCCTTTATTTGAATGCGTTAAAATAATACAAAAAATAATTTTTTCATTTTACTATTTTCAAATATAGAAGCAAGTCGCTGTTATTTATTAATTTCCAATTAGAAAAATAACGAAAAATCTGTTTTATTCCATAAAAAGTTTTGTTCTAGATTTATTCATGTTCATAATCGATAACCTTGTAAAATGGCGTGATTTTTAATTTATTTTAAAGGATAAAATATTTGTATTAAAATAGCAAACAAAATATATTTACTAGCTTAACGTCATAGAGATAGTATCAATCACGTGTGCGTGCACGCAATGTAAGCTAGACTTAAAGTACGTATATAGCAACACACGTTTTATATGTCATAATAAATTAAACAAAATTAGAAGTTTTACAATGTCTACTCATGTGACGTTTATTTTCGCGCGTCATGCGTCATGCGTGTAAATGTTACTGACCATTCCATATACAATCGATCGATTATCAGAGACAGCACATTAGCTCTGCGATTCTGTAAAATTCCGAACCCGAATACGAATTCACTTCAGAAGCGGCATCCGCTCAACCTTGAATTGGTAGTAACATTTCGTGGCATTAGTGAAATGAGTTCCGAAATGACATAGGAATAGAATATATGAGACATATGAATCAATCAATCTTGTTTTGTATTTTTATACAAAAAAGAAATCAATGGAATTTATATACGAAATGACGTGAATTCGGATACAAGAGTGAATTCGAATTCGGGTTCGGGTTTTTACAAAATTGCTCTGCAGGTTACTGATTAAGGTTGAACTTTAATCTCTTGACAATGAATTACTATAAATAAATTATCATCATCGTTATCATCAGCCCTGTATTTGGTCCCCACTGCAGGGGCTCAGGCCTTCCTGGTTGGTTAAGGAGCATGGGCCATGACCCTCCACGCTGGCCCAATGCGGATTGGATATAAATTATGACACACGTTAAAGGTATATGAAATGTGACATTGTATGTCAAGGAGATGAACAGACCTAATATATCTAAGTATTAGGATCTTATTTTAAGTATCTTTTATGTAATCATTTCATAGGAATAAAAATAATTTTGAAACAGCTTTTTAGGTTAGTTACTTAATTTTAATATAAGGTGTAAATTACAAAATTTGTGACGCCTTTAGTATAAATTCTATTAGAATAAATTGAACAGGTATTTAAGTCTTTAAAGTATAATTAATACATTTATGACGAATTGTGTAATATTATATTGGCTTGTAAGTACTGTTATAATACGGTGTTCCCCAAACATACACAATGACTGCTATTTGAAGCGCTTCAAGCGTAACCATGATTCACTATAGTCATGTGACAGAACACCTGTTGCGTAGAGCGACCGTCCTCGTATATATTTGTTTGCATAATTAATTTTGCTCTAATTATTGTTTGAACAGTGGAATGGAATTGTATGAGTGATTAAAATTTATTAAGGAAACATCTATTTTTGTCTCTGTCATTTCTAGATGTTACTATGTGAGATGGTAGATCAATTAAAGTAGTTTTAATTCTTTGGTTTGATAAAGTTATATAGTACTCATTGTTGTTCAATTTTCTTTCGTAGTATTACTTTGAGATGTTAGTTGTTTTTGTAAGAATTAACTAAAAATAACCACAGTAATAATAAAAACGTAAACAGAACAGATAATATTAATACAAGGTTAAACATTCAAAATAATCTGCTTTGTGAAGGGGTTAGATAGAATATTTTAATATGGAATCTGGATCTACACCTGATACCCTATTTTTTTAAAAAATAAAGTTTAATTGATTGTTCATAGCATTCGAATTTTAGACTCACTGAAGAACTCTATTAGTGTTAGCTATTATTAGTATTAATTACCTTTGATACATAATAATTTAGAAAGTTTTGAATAAAAATAATAATTATATTAAAACTTGCTAATTCGGATGGATTTATTTTTAAGAATCGCTCAGGATAATAAGCGATTCTGGTGCATTCTATACAATCACATTCAATACAATCTTAGACATATCACAGTCTGATATCATGATACATGACAGAATAAACAGATGCTAATATAGTAAAAATGGTTACTGGTGAAATTGATAAGTCAATAATCAGAAGGAGAGAATCAGATTATACCGTCTATTGTGAACCTTAATGACAGAAAAGTTTATTTTTCCTTGCAGGCTATCAGATCTGATTTACGGTCCTCGTTTGCAGCCAATGTGGTTGAGCATCGTCAACGGTGAGGTCCGCGTTGCCAACAGTGCAGCTGAGAGTCTTCTGTCTGATCTATGCTCGGTGCTGTCTGTGGGTGATACGAAGAATACCAACTTGTGAGTGTTATTTGTTATTAAGTTAATAAATATAATAAATAAATGAATGAATACTTTATTGTACACCATAATTAAACAAAAGGTGGATCGATACAATTTAGTGGTACAATCGGCGGCCTTATCGCTCAAAAGCAATTTCTTCCAGGCAAACGCATGTTAGACTGGACTATTACTTAAGTAGATGGGCAGTAGATGGTGTCTTACATGGCGAGAAAACATGTTTTTTTTTATATATAAACATACATACATACACTCAAGCTCATATTTAAATATACATACATAAATATGCATATATACATAATATAATAATAAATATAACAGTACCTAAAAAAACTATACGTATAGAGTAGAAGTTACTCATACATCACATACATTGCTCAAATTCCAATATGAGTAGCTAAAGTCCCCGTATTATGGAGTATCTGAGACAACGAAGGTACCACAACACCCAGACCCGAGATAATAATAAATTGTTAATTATGTTGGTAACTTTGTCAACAACAACAATATAATATTTTTTGTTTTAAAATAAATTCTAAATATATTTTATTTACGAAACACACCTGGTTTCTGAATTGAGCACACCTTAAACCGTACTTTAACAATCTTAAAATTGATATAAACAGGATTTTGTTTCCGATTTTTTTAATGTTCAATTAATAGCAGTTAATAAACTAGAAAAAAAATAAATAAAAACGATTTATTCATCAACTTATTTAGCTCATAAACAATATACTGAAGCTAGGACTTCGACAGTTTAAAAAACTTAAGTTTTTTGAAAATACTCAGTTGAGATTTGAGAAACCAGCCGATAATGTACGAACATGGTGTGATTAAAAAATGGTTTTGTCACATTAGTTTTTAAAATATTTAGAGTTTATAAAATTTTCTTTATAGAAATGACTCGCAAAGTTACTCCTAAAATTCACATTTTATTTCAATTTCTCTATGTAATGATACCCTTTTTTACATTAATCATAAAAACTTGCGAGTGAATAAATAAAAATAGTTTACGATGCGCAATACGGCATACTCTGTCTATCTTATTAATGGGTGCGTTGATAACGCCTTGTTTTTCCTTTTGTGTAAATTATAGTTCTTTTGCTAGTATTTTCTACGTCCATATTAGAATCATTTAATATGAAATAAACTTCAATTCGCTGCACAATATCTATTTGTGTACTTACATATACTTTTAAAGTGTTAATATTTTTTTTAATTTTATATATCTGCGTCAAATGGTTGAAATGTTGACGCGTGCATTCTAACACTACTAACGTATGCATTCTTTTCTATAATGACGTCACTCTGGTATGTTCAGTATGCCTGTTATGTTCCTTAATGAACTCGAGACGGCGTCAATACACTTCCTCGCCAATTAGTATTTATATTTATCGCTTAAGACTGGTGAGTTTGGTGAAAGATCAATGGCTGCTTGAAAGTTTTATGAAACTAGCCATTTTCCCGGGACTTTTCCTGCGCAAATAATAATTTATAGCACTTGCGTATGAGGTAGATTCCCGCAGAAGTGTCAATTTTCATTATTACAAGAATTCCATCTTTTAATCTTTTCATCGGGAAATTTTGCCGGGACTAGAATCCGTGATGTCAGAGTCCCGGCGTCAAGTGAGGACTAAGGTCATTCATTAGTATATGTTTACGTATTATTAAATAAACATCCTCTGAAACTTGCCAAATATTTAACGGTCACGTGAAAATGGTGAAGCTCGTTAAGAGTGATTTTACGACACAAGCGGCTAAAATAGAAGAAAAATGTTTTCTTTTAATTCTTAAATAGACATCTTACATATGATTGGATTGATGACGAATTAAGAAATATAACGAGAATGAATTGATGTTTTACAATCGTTTCCATATTTTTAATAACTAACCCACTACAAATTAGTAACTATATTATTATCAAAAGGTTAAATGTTTTAATGATTTTGACATATTATAATATTCCCAACTTATCAGACTCAAATACAATTGAATTGAAATTAAATTGGAAGGTTTTAATTATTGTTATTAACTTTAGTTATATTTGGATAAATAAAATGCATCATACTTTCTATTTATTACATTGTATGGAATTATAAGTAGCTCGTTTGTGCGGTACATAAGCGTCGCGGGCCGCGATCGTTGTGGTTAAGCAACTTTCGCAAAGGTCGGTCATGGGATGGGTAACCAAAAATTATTATCTTGGGCTACTCCGTGCCGTTGCTCCCGTCTGCATCTTGCAGTCATTAATACCCTCCAATCTGTATTGAGTCAGCGTGGCGGGCCATGGTCAATCCTTTTTAACCATCCATAAGGAAGGCCTGAGCCCCTGCAGTTGGGAAGTAAATGGCTGCTTTGACGATAATTAAATCCGAAATTATAGTATAACTAGCTAAATATGTGTACAACTAGCTGTTTTCCCGAGACTTCGCACGCGTAATTTATAGCCTATATCAACCCCGTATGATGTAGCTACTCTTAGGTGAAAGAATTTTTAAAATCGTTCTAGTAGTTTTGAAGCCTATTCGATGCTAAAAAAACATCAAGTCTTTCCCTTTTATATTAGTATAGATAGATAAGAATTCAAATTAACTAACAAACTTTACATATAACAACTTCGAAGGTCAATGGAATTTCGTTTAAAGTTTCCGGCTGAGTTATGTTATTGTATTCTTATTACGAATTAAAAGAAAACGTGTATATCATAACGCTTGTTAAAGCGATAAAATATTTTTTATAATTCTCATTAAATGTGCTAAGCAAGCCCATTTGAACTCTAGTCCAAGGTGTTAAAGTGCAAATTTAAAAAAAAATCTACGTACGTTCGATCGTATCTATTTGTGACGCATTCTATAGATCGTTAGATAACTGTTTAAGAGTCATGTGATTTTAAGGGAAAGCTTCTTCACACTAATAGTAGTTTTGAATAAACTTGTGTCTAGTATTATTTAATTGCATAGCAATCAGTTTGTTTTCTTATAAAGAGATATAGACTAAGATTTGCTTATTGTAAATAATATTTGCAATTATAAATATTACATACAGTCTCTTCCCGCGGAGATCTTTTAAACTAAATAGTAATTCAAGAGGAAGGTTTATATGTATAATACAGCACTATGCGGGCGAAGTCGTAGGCGGAAAGTTAGTATTTCAATGAATTACTATATATAATCTAGCGAATAAGGACAGATACTAATTTCAATTTAAAAAGCGAATAACACCTTTATTATTTCAATGAAAGGAGTGTCTTTTTTATTGTTAATATAATTTTCTATTTTCTATTAAATTTGGAGACAAACTTTGACCAGGATGATTGCTGACATTGATTTTCTATATCGGCACTACCAACATAAAGCGAAATATTATACTGAAATTTAGTATACAGATAGGGTAAAAGCTGAGTTTGATATTAGGTTACTTTTTATCCCACTAAACATTTTTCTAGGGACCACGCTTGCGAAGCCGCTGACGGAAGCTAGTGTGTATATAAAACGGATTTAACAAATGGTGGATGCGAGTCGAATGATTCAGAAATATACCTGTAGGCCAATTTTGCCGCTATTGACTTTCTATTATTACGGTAACATTAAGTTAGCGAAAATCAATAGCGCTTTAACTAAATAATAAATATATCTGTGACAATTGGCCTCATTTCTGCTAATAATATTTAAGTTATAATCGTATCTTAATAAGAGTTTCAACTGCTTGCATTTGCCATTATACTATCTACCTGAAGTCCAGTATTATTAGTGCAATGTTTTACTCACAAATCAATGGTAACACATATATTTATTGATTTGTGATCAAGTAAGACGAACTGTGTCATAGAGGGTTGTAATTGAAGTGATTTTCCATAATTACTCTAACAGAACATTAGTAGAAATTCCCTACCGATGTTTATCACCTATTATTAACAAAAATTTTTAGGTTATTAAACTCTAATATATCACAATAGAACTAGGCTATTACATTCAAGATGTTGTAATGACACGAGCAAATTGTCATATGTTAAAAATGGAAATGTGTGACGCGTATGTGTCATTTACCATCTTAATACCAGTTTTGTGATAAGAGACGTGAATTGTTTTTAGAATAATCTTGATATATCCAGTTGAAACTTGCGTACTTTAAATAGAAAAATCTATATCTATAAGTACGTATTATAAAACAAAGTACCTGTCTGTATGAATGCTATAAACATAAAAAATATCATATTCGTTTATAGATAGTTCTCATGGTTGATAACATACACGTGCGGAGTGCGGGCGATTTTCATTTCTCGCTTTCATTGGCCGGTCATTGTTTTATTGAACAATGAGATGAGCGCTCAGAGGTCGCCCGCACTTAGCATGCTGACCCCATCGGTCAGTGAAAACGAGCCATTACAGAGTAATTTGTGACGAAAATTTTAGTATGAAATATAGCTGACTAATAACTATCATTGTAATAAGAAATAAAACGTCGGAAAAACATGACAACTACAACATGATATGACATGACTTCGTGTAATGCCGGGGAGAGTTGATAGTTATTTACACTAATATTACAATGGGAAAGATTGTTTTTTGTTTGTTTTTAATGGATAACAATTACCATTTGATGTAACGAAACTATTCTTAGAACAGTTCATGGTTTTTTCTCATACTTGCATTGTGATATGATGGCAATGGACACAAGCACATCACATGTAAACATTTGTAATCTACACCAATTATGAGTCGATCACTTATGTGCAATAACCTATTCTATATGATACTATTTTATTTAATTTATTTGTTTCTTCTTTTATTAATGGCTCATTTGTGCGTTTCGCGCGATTCTGTAAATGTCAAGTGATTAAATTAGTTAAATTAAAATAAGGTAATTTCTACAAGTAAAACGAAATGAATGAAAGCCGGAGATGAAATCCATTATTTATTTACATATTTGGGTCAATGTAGCTTATGGTACGCTTATACAGTACGAGTCACTGCCTAGCCATTAGACAGTTACTCTGTTTGTATATTTGTACGCAATAGCTGTGTTTACAAAACATATTAGTTTCTACCTAGTTTTGCGAGCGCAGTACGAATCTCTTTCTGACACGTATGAGCTACTGCCGAACACTTCCAAACTATGTTTACTTGCGAGTTGCTGCCGGTCGAGTAGGTGAGTAAAAATAAATAATGTTGAAGTAACTCTGATACTAGCTACAGTCCAATTCGCACGTACGAGTTACTTGCAACTTATACCCAAACAATGCAAGTTACTTCAGTGCAGATACTCGGCAGCTTGACTCAAATACCAGTTCGCACTGTGTAAACTAGGTATTTTAAAATAGATTAAATAAATAAAAATAATTTGCACCAAGAGACGTTCGAGTTGGTGGTACTGTAGGGAGAAATACGATGTTGAAATATTAACCTACACCGCCATCTGCTATAAAGTTTTGAAGTTAATATAGAAGTCTTTGATCGTGATAAAAAGTTTTTTTTTTATAAAAGAAAATATTTAATCACGATAACAGAAATAAAAAGTAACCACGTTTTAAGTTTTGTTATATTTACACAATTGAATATATTAATCTTTGTAAAAATAATATAACAAATCCTGTAAAGTCTTCCCCTAAAATCTATTGTTTGATGATAGACTTAATCAATCTCTTTTCAAGTATTAACGTCAACATACTGACTCTGGCCTGGCTTTCGTCCAATACACTGCCAAGGCTTACGATCTTGACAGTGAAACAAGTTTTTTTTAAACAAGCTTTTATTTGGTTTATTCTATAAATTAAGTCCTTTCATATGTTGTCCACTCATATTTGGTCGGTTGTTAAGAAATATGTACGCTGTATTTTATTACGGCGGCTATTTTGAATTAATAATAAATACCGATATCGATTATAAATAAATGGAATTGTCATCAACACTAAAGATATATTTCAAATTTCAGTTCAAATTGTGACTGGAAAGTGGGTGAAATTTAGCTTGCAAGATTTGTTTACAGAAAGACGAATAGGCGTAACTAAATAAAAGTTTTTAAAGTGGGGTATATATATATGTGGGTGGGCTTATAAGAAAATTGAAACTTGTGTACGCGACGGTTCGTGATTAGTGTTAAGGGATTTATACATATAGTGAAAGATGTAGATACAGGTAGATAAAAAGGCTAAATGCAAATAGTTGAGATTTTATTGTGATGCGATTATTTCGAAAACATTAGCTGAATTGGAAGCAGTTAATCAAAAAGGATCCATCCCACACAATGTCTCTTTTGAGATATAGATGATTGAAGTTTAAGCTGTATTTGCATGTTGATGTAACATTTTTGTGTATCATATTTTTATCTAATAGCATAGAAAACCACTCACATTATAAAAAATTAAAGGTAAAATATGTTTGGATCTTTTTTGATATATCTTGGTTTTAATTACCGTATTCTTACAAAACACATCTCAAAAATGATCCAAATGAAGAAATAATAGACATAATAATAGACTAATTAAATTGTTTTATTGTGATTTTTAATCAAGATTAGTGCCTTTAATTTGCTATTTTACTATATGGATCCAAGAAGCTTGAGTCGTTTTCATGGAACTAAAATATGAACCTACCAAAGATGTGGGATGGTAACTACCATTGAAAAAAACGTCAAATATTAAATTCAGCTCAGAGCTTTTTTCCTATATGAAAGTATAGAACCTGATGGACATTTTGGCATACTTAACTCATTTTTGACCAATTTGTGGGTTGGATCCTTTTTGAGTAACTACGTCCAATTGACCTTCTGCTCTTTATCAAAATAGTACATAATCTTATATCGATAATAGACAAGCGTGTAAGTGTTAGCATTATAACGATCCTTAATTATTAAATTGTCACGTCTAAACAGAACCGTGCCGTCATAGGTCAACGTATTTTTAGACTCGACCCTGTACCACGAGACCCATTCGTATGTTGTGCTGTGACGCGTCGTATTTTCAGATCTTTCCGCTCTTATCGTAATACAAATGCGAGTGTGTATGTTTGCTTTTTACGTATAATTCACGTGATTTTTCTATATTTGAATGAGCTGACGTTTACAAATTGTTACTGAACGTTGTATAACGAGAAACGTGGGCGTAGCAAATGTGAATTGAATATGTTATTGGAAATAGATTCTTTTTTTTCTAATGACGCTAATTGAAAAAGATGTCTTTTCGACGTTGTATTATGATTAGTTAGTTGTTCTTAATGAAAATGTTTTGTAGGAATAATTTATTTTTAAATAAATAAAAAATGATATATGTAACGCGTTCAAATGGAAGATATAGTATTAAACACAATGTTATTTATTAGATGGATTCTATTAACTATAGATGAAATGTAAAGGGATAGGAGACTTTTCTTAATATAAACAATTTATCTTAAGAACCAATAAAAATTACACAGGCTTTTAAATGTAACTTTAAAAAAATATATAAGTTTCAGTACAGAATATTGAAATCTATTGTAACCAAATCTGTAAAAATGCAATATATCAATAATAAAATTGGCATATTTAAATACTGCAAGATATTGCCGTTAAATGTCCAATGTAAAATTAATATAATTAAGAAAAAATATTTTAATCATGCTGCGCCGACCCCAAATAAAATTGGGATAAGGGCAGGGGAATGATGATGATTTTTATCAACATCAAAAAATAAATCACCTATAATTACAAGGATGATCGCTTGGACACGCCTATGTGTGTGAACAATACCTACGGCGAGACAACAAGGAGATACTAGGTTCCTCGACTTATTAATCAACTATCTCCAAATCTTGCTGATAATTTAAAGCAGAGTAATATTGAAATACAGCTTAAAAATATTTCTTTTTTGGATATATGATTCTCCTGATTGATGGGTTATGTTTGAAAATACTTTTAATTTTCTTTATCTCTGCAACTAATATTTTAAAATGTTCGCATATATACATAAGAGTGTATATAAGCCGTTGATAATAATTATGTATTGTGAAACGTAATTTACCTACCGCAGAATTTATTCGCTTCAAGTTGTGTATATATCAAATGTCAAAATAGGGGTTGTATTATATTATATTCGATCGATTTTGTAATTGATATTTAGTACTGAATGTCAAAAATCACAATGTGAAAGAATGTAAAAACATTATTAAATAATAAATCAATATGTTATATCACTATAAATTTATTTGATTGCATTTTTGGATCATGTAGGTAACAATAGGCTTGTGTCCTACAAGTGAAAATACGGGTTTTTGTTATATCTTCGAAAAATATGAACCATTTTAACTTATAAATGTTTAACAAAACAATTTCTTTCAAATTTTCACTGATTTGGAAAATATTACGCTTTGAATACTTGAAAAAACTAGAGAAAATCTACTAAAAAAATGCTGAAATACACAAGGCATTAAATTAGATATAAAAAATGTTACAACTTTCATTATAACAGCTATAAACATAAACACACAAATAACAAAGATATTACAAAAAAATATCCAGACCTCATATATTTTTCGCTACTGTAGCACCGTGTGACGTCACTGAGTGCCTTGAATTTGTAGGGAGCGATTTCGGCCAACTAGCAGCACTTCTACAAACACAGCACCGTATCTCCGAAACTATTAATCGCAGACATGCTGTTATTTCGAAATTATATCTAAGATGTTAATGGACTATTTATTTATGAAATAAAAAAAAGTTGTCAAATATCCTATAATATATTAATAGCAAGAATCAACTTTAAAGTATATTGGCATGTCAATAAACTATTCTCAGTTTAGTATCAATAGAATAAAAACTTTTTTGTAAACTATTGTAAATTAAGATATGAAATGACGCAAAAAATACTTGGCACTATAGACAAACCTTAGTGGTTTATATAGTGTTATCTAAACAATAACATTGTATATAATTATTTAGATTGCTAAATAAATTTAAAAAAAATATTTTGTTGTTACAGTTTCATCAGCACTCTTCTTACACACGTCCTCACTTACCATCTCGGATGGGTGACCACCGTTAGTCCGTACGACACTGTAGATCCAACAAAGAGCACAGAATCTACAGTAGAGTCACAAAAACCATATAACGCGCTGTGGGCTCAACTCGCTGACCTCTGTGGTTGTATCGGTTTCCCACCTCGAACTGCTAGAACCATAATCAGTGGTAACACCAATGCCCATTTCGTCAACAGACTGCTCCTGGTACTAACTTATTTTGTACGATGTGGTGAGGTTACCAGAAGTGATTTTCAATACCAAGAGTGTGAGCTTACTGAAAGCAAAGTCGTCAGTATAAACCCTGAAGTCACAACCTTGCAAAGAATAGATACAAAAGAAAAAGAACTCTGTGATTTTGGCTCCAATAATGCTCTGAAAGCATATTCAGTTAATACTCAAAATAGTGTTAGTAAAGTTAGTACTCTAGTGGCCAGTAACGTCAGTATTAAAAAGTCGACGACTCTCGCAAACCTCAGTCAACAGCTCTCTAATAGTTCAGAGTTCATTGTTAAAGAACCGGAAGTGGAAGTTGAAACCAGCACGAAATATGATAAACCTATGACTAGTCAGTTAAAAAGGACTCCCACAGTGATGATGTCATTGAAATCATCTTTGGACTCTAGTCTACATTCATCGGTATCAGAAGAGGTTGAGACGGAAAAGAAAGTTGTGTTCGTTTTAGGTGACGACGAGAAGTTGGTCGGGCTAAAAAACAAATCGACCGGTGGAAAGAGCGTCAAGAAATCTAGTAAACCCCCTAGTGAGACAGATACGTCAGAGTCGAAAGAAAATTGTGCCAAAGGTGATTGTGATCGCGAGAAGAGTACCGAGAGCCCGTCGAAGTGCTGCGGGCAAACGTTTCAACATTCCAAACCAATAAAACATTCCGGTTTTAAGTTTGAATTTGATAAGTATCCTCAGATAGTCACTAATTATATGAAGAGCAAAAATTTAGAGATACTAGATAGGCATTATATCGGTAAGCCGGGCAATCTAAAGCTGGGTAATTTTCAGTTTGACCCGACTGTCGTTCCTCAGATACAGGAGGAGAAATGTGAGACTTGCTACAAATGTCAACTTATGGAGTCAATGCTGCAGACTCCCACTAACGCTTCTGAAATGGAATACATGAACGATATGCCACCAGGAGAGCCACAATATGCTAAAGAAACAGTACTACAAAGTGTTGAAAGTAGCAGGGAAACTACGCCTAAGACGTTTGTGAGAAAACGGAAAGAAAATACTGTTATTGTGAACGTAAAGACAGGGTTGCCTGATAAAAATACGCAACCGGATGAGAAAGGTGAACTCAGAGAGAAAGAGAAGGTCACGCAAGTGAAACAAGTGATCGAGATGCCTGCACCGAAATTTAGTCTTCAAGTAGAACCAAAGAAAACGTCGTCCGGTTATGATACGTCATTGCTTGGTGGAGTTACGGACCATTATGTACCTGATTTAATATTACAAGGTAAGATCTAGTATTATTGCTTTGTCACTTTCAGTAAATAATATTCAATCGAACTAATCGGTGCTTTTATCTTTCGTGTAAATTCCTTTAAAAATTTGAGAATCAATGAGTTTTAACACCATGAATCACCATTGCCGTGTTTTGAGTTGCCGTTCTATAACCTAATATTTTACTTGCATGTTCATCACTTTGCAATAAGTTTAAAAAGTTTGTTTCAAAAATCAATTACTTTTTTCCTTTACAGGAACGATATCTAAGTCTGATATGTGGGAGTCGGAACTTCGACGGGATTTGGAGCTTACTACTTATATTAATAAGGCTCTAGATCCGCCATTACAAGCTGTGGCCATAATTGGGGATACAAAAAATTGGTGAGTGAGCTAATTATGTATCACATTGTTGTGACTTGGTAAGTTCGCTCGAATTCAAATGATTATGAAATGTTTAGCAAACGACGAAATTGTAAATAAAGAGAATGGAGTCTTCTAAGGGGTCTTGGGGTAACAGAATCCGAAAATCAATTGTATTTTGTCGTTATATTGAATTGGCTTGAATTAGTATTGTGTGATCATTTGTTGAATTGAAAATTTAAAAGTCTGGCGGAATTTCCGTCGAATGTATAAGGTCCAATGTCATATCATTTTATTTGTCAGTTGTGACGTCTTCGTAACATTGGTGCAGTTACACATCCATGCATGCAAAATTATTCTTCAATTGATTTTAAACCTTAATATGTCGGTTATTAAGTTTTAAAACGGATAGCAGAAAAATGATATTTTTGGAACATCTTAAAACTTTGTAACCAAAAGCTTTGTTTTTTTTTGACGTGGATACGTCTATGTTTTCGTTCTACAGGGGGGTCATTCTGTGAGCAGGAGCTTATGCACTAACGCCATCTATTGGCGTATAAGTGAACTATGCTTGCTCTGCAGGGGGAGGGGCATTCTGTCAGCAGGAGTATATGCACTAACGCCATCTGTTGGCGCTAGTGAATACTTTTTTCATTCAACAAATGAACGCAACGAATATTTATTTATTTAGTGTTTAGTGTCTTCAATTTGTTTATTTATTTTTTTATCAATTACTCATATATCCATTCATACATAGACGTATCCACGCATAAAATATGGCTGTATCAATGATACAGCCAACCAGGGTTTTATAGATTAAATACAATTAGACAAATTTTACAGTATTGAATAACTTAAACTGCTCTTGGTTGTACTGTAGTGCTATATTAAACTAACTATTCTATTGAGAAGCTTAGAATATTAAGAGTTTAAAATAGGACGTATCAATGCTACTTTCTGTCGCCTAATAGCAGCACTGGCCCATGTCATGAATAATGTCATTTACAATGAAAAAATAAATAAATCATTAAACGTCATTTACAGAGTAGTCAAGAGTAAAGTAATAATTAGCAAAGTAGGAATATAATATCTTAAATTAATAGAAGAAAGAGTGTAATTTTATCAAACATCATTGCTTCATATTTGGATGTAAGAAGGAAAGAAATCATTAATTTCCAAAAGATATTTACTACATGTGTTCGTGCTGCCATCTACGCCAGTTTTTGCGTAATATGCAATAGGGATAATGACTGGGTAAAAATAAAAGAAATTCTATTTAATCCGTTAGACAGATAATACGGAAATATTAGATACATATTTTTTTCTTCAATTTGAACAAGAAATAATAAGCAAGCATTAAAGTTGATGAGTCATTACGTCACATTTTTTTAGAAAATGTACAAAAGTGTGATGTCATTTCAACTCAATGTATCGCCATAGTGAATTGATTACGCAAAAAAAATACGCGTCTTCATCCTTTTTGAAAGCATCCATAATTTTTTTTATTTGTATTTGCGCAGGGAAGTCCGCGTGCTAGGGCGTGATAGCGGCGCGAGTGGAATGTCTTCACTGGTCGGCGGTATGTTGGATGCCGTACCAGCAATGAGACGAGCTAGGGTGCCCGCGAATCAGGTATACATATATATCAAACATATACAGGCAGTCCTCGACTTGCGTCGTGTTGATTTACGTCGTTCCAAGTTACGTCAATGTTTTGACACTATTCGTCAAGCATATGTCAATTATTTCGATTTCCGGTATAGGAGAATTCACTTGTCGCGAGGTCAATGTCCGTGGGGTTATAATGTTAATAACAAAATTTGTGCAGCCTATCAGTGTTACCAAGTCCTGAATGATAGCAAGAAGAAAGAAACGAAGCAATCGCGATTTGATAGTTTTTTTTAGCCAAAAGTTAAATTTGTTATTTCTCATTGCATATTTTGGTTATTAAAGTTTTATTATAATTATTGTTATTATTGAAATATCAAAATTAACTAGCAATTTTATAAGTACATTTATGTTTATTTTATTTTAAGTTTAATTACTTGCTTTTAATAATAAAGTATGAATATTCTTTGTTATAAATGTAGTTTTTTGTTTATTTTGAGCCCGTGTGAAATGAAATAAAATGAAATGAAAATATCTTTATTCAAGTTATTCAAGTAAGCTCGTATTAACTTTAACTTATGAATCGTCCAAAAAACTTTATTCCCCTACCTGGAACCTAACCCTCGAGTTTTACATGTAAACATATGAAAAAATATGTTTCGACATGCCGTAAGCATGAGGACTGCCTGTATATGGTATCTGCTCCTTTTCTCTCTCAGCATAGTCTGTCATTCCACTACACTATACCGGGAGGGAAAGTCTGAAACTGTAAGACATGCTAAGATCTGTTCTTAGAAACCAATTAATCGATTTTAGTAAAAGAAAAACTTCATTCGTACATGAAAAAAAAACCAGATCTCAGTTATATATTACTATAAATAATGTAAGTTTATTTTTCAAAACATCCGGGTGAGAATCGAACCTGAGAACTAGTGTTATATTTGATCAATTTGGCATTCATAGTGCTATACTGGAAAATATCCTCTTAATACGATAAAAGATGTGTTACAGCTTCATAGATTTCATCCTGTATATGCCTCTTGGTAACTTCTCCATTGTGCTTGCGGCGATTCTATCCCAGTTCGGTTCTATTGCCGTTTTTATATCGGTTGACCGTCTAACTGGTCTACACTACTACGACCGCCTACACATCGTCTTCCTGTTCGGGGCTTATATCTATCTATATAGAAGGGTTGGAAAATTTTTAGGCTATATTGACATATTGTTTTCTTTGGATAAGTGTGCTCGAGCTATTTATTGTGGTTTTATTGCGCTCTGCCGTTTTGCGTAAAATCAAAATGGTGGCCAGGGCACGAAACGAGGTTTTGAATAAACAATTTTGAACCCTTTTAGCATTGTGAATGCAAAATTGTTAATATGTCAATGAGGAAGTATTTAAAAAAAACGAAAGCTCTAAAAAAGCACCTCCACTAGATGGCGACTCTAGCAAAAGTTGATTTTTGCAGGAAACGAATGGACCAATGACAGTCATTTTCGTTCCTTTTAACTGACATATTAAAAAATTGAAATTTGAAAAGTTTGAAACTTAGATATCAATACAAATACGAAAAAGTACAAATAGAATATAAGTTGTTTATTGAGTTTTGAAAACTAATTTACTTTTAAAGATGAAAGAAAACCGGAAAGGTTGTTATGGAGAAATCAAGAACGTACCGTAGCGACATCTAATTTGATTTCGGGGAGTAATGTTTTTTTTATAATAATTCCTCATAACAATTACTTTAGATGTTTAATTTGAGATCAGAACAGTGTGCAGTTGTTAGTTTATATATTTTCTTGTTGTTAATTTTTGTTTTCTTAATTTTCAGTGTTTATCTTACTTAGAGGGCAAGTTGCGCGAGTTCTGTGTACTATCCAAGACGCTAGCGGACATGTTGATGACGACAGATTTCTGCGACATCGCGACATTAACCAAATCACTCAATATTGACGTGAACGATGTCCCGCTTCTACTCGCCATCGCTACTACACACACTCCGCAAGTGGCTGCAAGATACGGCATCAGCTACAGATGAAACGAACCTTATGTTAGTCGACATAAAGCATACTTTACTGTGTAAGTTTGTCACATCCATCTTTTTCATATATTGCGTGGACGTTGATGTTGCTGATTTTATTGTTACAAGTTTATTAACTAGTGCCCCGAGATGTAACCTTAAATTTGAGTAAATGACAATCTACTTTATTGTAGACGTCATATGGTACATTTTCGAATTAACCTATGAGATGATGAAAATCTAAGTGTACTTTCGATGAGTCGTTATGAACTGTAAATCAATCTTGACTATAATTAATTTTGTTTGGCCTCAAGGAAATTGTTTCAAAACCAATAAACCAATTTTTTAGGGCTTTGATATTTTACAATGAAATAATTTTATAACCTGAAGGCATCTTGTGATTAAGAGAATTTTAATACATAAATTGTTTTGAACGAGACAAACAAATTCTACGTATTATACATATCTAATTTAAAAAATTGTATAACTTGGCAGTTAAGCAAGTTCAACGAATAAGCCTGTTCAACTTGTAGCTTCAAATTAAGCGAATATATATTTTGAATAACTATTGTTATTTGATTGAATTATATAAAGTTACTTGTATTATAAATAACCAAAAAGTATTAAAAGTATATTAAGATCATATTCTATTAACAAAATTTCTTCTTTTTGTTTTACATTATTTGGATATGAGATGTTCTTATTATTATTCGGAATGACTTATTTATCTACTCATAGTGGGATTATTAGTTTTTCTTATTCAATGAAATAAGACATTAACATAAGATATTGATATATAATTGTTTATATCTTTGTAAGCTTAAATGTTAAAGAGATAAAATCTTGAATGTGTTATAGTACCAACAGTTTTACGAGTAGTATTGGCTTTTATCTGCGTAGAAGAGACAACTAAGCCAATGGAATACAAATTCCAATATCCTCGAAATATAATCAAATGCAGTTGCGAGTTCTTTTTTCTTAAAACTGTTAAGACAATGAAATAATAAACGGCATGGGCACTAATGCAAAACTTTTAGGTGGTAACGTCACGGTTGATAATAAATGTCGATAAATGTCTTATAAAAATAATTTATTCCAAATACATTTATTTTTCTAAATTAAGGAAGTGGTGAGATCGTTCTGAACTAATTTTGTTTAGACAAATAAAGGTGATCTGATTGTTATTAAATTTAAATTCACTGATTATATTCATACACTGGTGATGTTATGTTAGAAGCGTGAACACAAAACACTTAAAATATGGGCCAATTTTATTCATAATTTATTGAAAAACTACAAATTATATCAGTATGAAGACGCTACAATATGTGACCATCAAAAGTAATGAAACCTTAACGATTCCACCTTAAGAGTTTTATTAATATAATATATTACGGTGCTTTTATCAGGGGTTCTATATTTTTTAATACTTTAATAAATTTATTTATTCGAATAATCGAATTGACCCTCCAAACGGGTAGCTCTTTTTTCAAACTGAACATTTCAATGTGAATTTTAACTCATTTCAATATAAACTTCAACTCACTTCTATGTGAACTTTATCTTTTGAACGTCCTCATTTAATTCGGTACTCCTACTATAGTATATAATGGATTAATTAAAGCATACTTTTTAACCCCTTTTCTCACTAAAAGTTTAGTATAAATACCTCTTTACACTTCCGTGTGCTTACGTAAACATTTTATATAAAACCGATATAACTTAAACTTGCTAATCAGTAAATAAACCTCAAATTTTACAATTGTGAATTATTTCATCTATTGATCGATGAGTGCAGCGTGACAGTAATAACATTAAAACCTATTTTGTTATTTACAACTGCCAGCTCGATTAGATAGAGAGGTTTTATAGATAGAACAGGCTCGCCAGACACCCAACTATCCTTTTAGCTTTAGCTATCCCGATAGAAAGAGAGATTGTAATACCCCAATGATGTCTACTCCGCATGTGTAATTAGCTCGGAGAGGAAGGGCAACAGTACGATTCGATGCTTTCTTTATAGCTGTAATGATTGATAGGATACCGTGATCTTCTGTCCCTTTTTTAATGAAGCGCGTCGCTTCCAGGCAGTTGAATGTCTGACGTGTTTGAATGTTACCCCTAGTCTATATTTAATATTCATATAAACGGGCTTTGTAGTAACAAGGTTCTGTGATTTAATTAATTTCTTAATAATGTGGTAAAATGGATTTGATTGTGATAATTGCAAGTATTCAAATGTGATGTCTGCTGAGGCTTCCAAAAGGTCTTAACAATGTGATAGTCAGTTTTTAATTGGGCGATGATGCCATCGTGGTGGTTTTACATTAAGTTTATTATCACTGTATGGTGATTTATAAATTTAATTAAACGTTATTGTAAAAGTACCTTGTCATATATTAATCTATGCACAAAATATTAATTATATATTGTTATAGTTTACTTTTTCATAAGTTCATTGTCATGTACCTAATATTTTTTTTACCTTATTCAAGTAATAAATTATTTTTTTCATATTGATTATGTAGTTTTTATTTACCTTTAATTTTCTGTATGAGTCAATTAAAAAGCTTTTCGCTGGTAAGTAAATGTTCTTAAAAATCAGTTAGTGAAGTTTGTTATAATTGTTCAGTCAGTGTTGACAGTTTGTCTAATAAATGAATGAATGAACACTTCACTGTACTCGAATTAAGTTGCTCCTTAGTTAGGTCTAGATAGCTGACATCGGCATAGTCAAGGATTGGTAGAAGAGATCGTGCAAGCGCAGTTTTAGTGGCTATTGGTAAAAAATTACTCTTCAAAAAACCAGCAGCAGAAAAGATTTAAGTAACTTCCTCAATCTATGTTAAGTTTTTATCTATAGCTATGCCAAAATTTCTAACAGTTACTGGGGGTCAAAGTAATTCCACCAAATGAAATCGCAGGTAAACAAGACCAGACAATTTTATAAATAAGTGCTGCCAACAATGTTACGACTGACTCAAGGCTATGGTATATAGTATAGCTTGGGAATAAATTTGTAGGTCATCTGCATGAAGGTAAAAATCTGTAAAAAAAATGCAATTCTATTTAGTCCGTCAGTCAGATAATAGAAAAATATTAGAATCGTATTTTTTTTTTACTTCAATTTAACAAGAAATAGCTTAGATAACAGGCATTAAAGTTGAGGAGTGGGGGCTCGCTACGTCACAGTTGAGTAGAAAACGTACCCTAACGTGACGTCATGCGAAATTTCAACTCCATGTAACGCTGTAATTTTATGATTACGAAAAAAATACGTGTTTAATATTTTTTAACACTCTACCTGACGGACAAACAAACAAAAATTAGTCATCATCCCTATTGTCGTGAAATTGAGCTAATAAATATAGCGAAAAGTAATTGAGACAAATCACCACCTTGCGTCACCCCAGCATAAATGTTGCACCAAGTGCTAAAGGAATCCTCAATGCATATTCTCTGTCGGCGTCCAGACAGGTAACTATGAAACCAGTCAATCACTGCTGGAGATATGTTAATAGAGACAGAGAACCGTTACCTTTCCATGTTCCATTCCTGGCCTGATATTATCTGTAACATTTATTAGTGCAGTGGTGGTACTATGACCAGCACGGAAACCTGATTGGTAAAGATTTAGGAGTTGATTTTAGTAGAGGAAAGTGCATAGTTGCTTTTGAATAAGGCGATCCAGAGCTTTAGAAAGGAATGGTATCATGGAAATCGGTCTATAGTCTGAAAAGGACAGTGGTTTGGATTTTTTTAGGTAATGGAGTAACGTAAGCGCTTTTCAAGCAGAGGAATACGAGAGATAATAGGAAGAGTTTCGTCTAAGATGAGGATAATCATTTTCCTACTAACAGAGTCGCTGCCCGCAATACCTAATACTAATGCTGTTCTGAACTGATTTTAAGAAGTCAGAAGATTGACGCAATGAAAAGCGTGAGTGATCCGGGCACGGAAGAGATGAAAGATAGTTTAAAGTATCAGACTTGCTTGATGTATCGCACCCATGTGAAGAAGAAAAATGTTTATTGAGTGAATTGATCTAAACTGCTAGAAGAAGATACTTGTCGCTATTTTCCTATGCCCTTCAACAGAGTTATGAATGAATTGGCATTGAGCATTGCTACATACTTTATTGCATTGATTGCGTAGTTTGACATATGCTTCCCAGTTAGGAGTGGGCCTACACTTGTAGTTATTTTTAGCAGCAGCAGGCATCATTTGAGAATTTTCCACGTTTGGCGATAAGAGAAGATGAGACAATAACAAGGTCTAGAAACGAAGAAGAGCCGCATGAAAATCGGAATAATGTCTTTAGAAACTGAATTTATAAACCGTGGCGTTTTATCGTTTTGAATGCCAACGACCTATGTCAATAGTAGGAAATGCAATCTCGTTCTCGCGAGATCTCGGCCTTTTTAGCGAGATTGATCTCGGTCGAAAAATAGGCGAGATCTCGTGAGTTTAACGAGATTGCAGTCCAGCATAAAATTTTCTAATTTTCGATTTATTTTAAGTGCGACAGCGCGAATTTACGCGATTCCGGGTGGTTAAAAGGCGAAGTTTTACGCTTTTACAGTATTTGTGTTTTCGATAGGGTCTTCTCGGTGGCTGGGTACCTGGCCAGCACAATAATAAGACGAATAGCAAAGATTCTTTGGACATTTTGTGCTTAAGAAGCTATTTTCAAAATTATTCGTAATAATGACGTGTGAAATAAACTGAATAAGCCTTCCAAGATTTGGCTGTATGGCTTAGTTCCTTCGCCTGTCCCATGGACGAATTATAATACTACTACTACTGAATAAGCCTTTAAATTGATTGGTACATTTTGTTAATTGATTCTCTAATTTCTAATAGATCTCTAGGTACACATAGTTTTCTTTCATTGATAATAATCTCAGTTAAATAGTCAGTTCAAATTAGTTAATGAATTATAAAAACTGTGTATTATAATTAAACTTTTTTAAATTTGATATTAGCAGAGAAGATTGCTTGTTTATTTCATTTTGTAT